TTCCAAGACTCTTCTCGAAAATTTCAGTGGAAAATTTTCAAGAGTGTGCCCCATAAAGGAAAGACAATAAATGTTTAGTAGAAGACTCACATGCTGCAAAATGTAATTTGAAATTCCAAGCCTTCTTCTTCACTATAAAATCGGCAAAAATAATAAAACCGCTCAACAATTTAAACTTTTTACATAAAAAAATTGTACTTTCAACATTTTATCCACTGGAAGAATTGAGAATTTTATTCTCCTCGGGCTTATGACATGGCAAATCCCTTTTCCATAAATTCCCCTTCATTTTATAGCCTCATTATTTTTATCTAAATGTAAAAAATCTTCTTTTGTTGCAACGCTGCGCGTCCACCGTGCAATGGCCCCTGGCCAGATGAAAAAAAACCACGAATATACGCTTTGTATGTTTGGTGGAATTAACGTTGGCCATTTGCGATTTGAACAAATACGTGTCCCGAGAGAGACAGAGGGAGAGCTAGAGAGAGAACTTCAGCCTCAGCCTGACCATCCCGTGCGGTTGCACAAAGGGGACGAAACACATTCAAAAAAGAGAAAGAAAAATCAATGGGAAAAAACAGGAAACGCGTGCCGATCTAAAATTTATTGTTTCAGAGGATTGCGAGGGGTGGAAGGGAGCTGAAAAAAATTGCACCACCCACTCCTGCCAATTTTTTTGGGAGGATGGATGAGATCATTTATTCTCGTTATGTAAAAAAAACGAATAGTAAATTGTTGCCAAATGGGTCAGCGATTTTTGCTTGCTAACGATAGCCATTGCGAGAGAGGAGTGTCCTAAAACATCGTAACTTCAATGTTATTGCTTTAAAAAAAGTATCCAGATGATAGAAACAATCTCCATGAAAGTTCCTACAGAAAAAATTGAAATTTCAGAAAACTAATTTTTTTATTTTAAGAAATCATTTAGGTCGAAAGGAAATGTATTCCATGAGAAATGAGAAATTTTACAGAACCATTTTTTTTTATTCTCAAAAATCATTCATGAAATGAATGGAACGAAAGAATTTTTATAGAATTTCAGATGAACAAATTGAAGTTTCAAGAAATCGAATTGTTTCAACTTGAAAGAATTATTTATTGTGAATGAAATATATCAAATCTAATGCCTGATTTTCCAGTTGAAGATTCAGTATGAAAGACCTTTTAAGAATGTCCGAGTATTTTTTACAGTTTAGTACAGGCCACACTATAGATTCAACCATTTTCGATCATCAAATTTGTCATTTCAACTGCATGAGAAAAATTCTAAAAAATCATGAATATTCAACATCATTCAAATTGCATTTTGCACAGAACTATTATTTTTTTAAACATTCGTTGTTTATAAATACGTAAAACTCTAAATACGAATAAATTTGTTACGATTCCGAACAAATGATTTTCATGGTGGAAAAAACCACCATATTGATTGTTTATAAATTATAAAAAATGCTCGTAATTTTCGAAAATTGCTATTTTTTAATTATTTTACTAATCTTCCTCCCAAAGTAAACTTTCTAATTTTTTTCAGATTTTTAAATGTTTTCTAACGCTTCAATATCGATATTCAAATTCAAACCTGTAAAGTTAAATAATAAAATCATTGTAAAATGTAAAAGTAGAAAAGTATTTCACTGGAGAAAAAATAGCCAAAGTACTTGGACATTTTTTAATTATTAGTCCCTGAAAAATCAACAAAAGAAATCTTCAATATCAATAGAAAAAAGATTGTCACGTCTCTATAAAAAATTAAGGAAAACGATCATCTAAATGTTTTTCATCAGAAATTTCCCCACCTGTCCAATCAAAAATTACCTCCTCCCTACTCTCAAACCATCGACCAAAAACTTGAAAATATCGACAAGATGGCTTATCAATCGCCAAAGAAACCATCAGAGGAAACAAATATTTCCCCCCGGATTGATTGATTCCACCTGCAGTCGATTGGAAATATCTGGCAATGGGTTTGGTGGAGGTCAATAGCACTGCAATCCATCGAGAAATGTGTATACCGAGAGCTATGAAAGATGGAGAGCGCAAGGGTGAAAGAGAAAGAGGGAAATTGCGGATTGTGAGGGAGAGAGAGAAATAGTGAGTTCAAGGCATTGAGAGCGCTTGGTTCACGAACTCGCGTGGCACGGCTATCTGGATTAACTCCGTGGATTCCTGGAGAGAACCACTGATAAATAGCAGCCGATTACGGCCCCTGTCGACCCTAACCACGTATCGAAATCCTGAATTCCTGTTGCACTACCTCTTTACCCCTTCCTATCGTCATCACCCCCATGGACTCGAGATATCGATGTGAAATCCAACCGCAGAATTAGGTGGGTCGAGTTACAAATGGAATAGATATACTGGGATGATCGAAATATTTCAACTTTTGCTATTTTTTCACTCATTTTCTCTCTGCATTTTTAGAAAAAAGATGAAAATGGGGTTAATTTGCACCAAGAGAGACACAGAGGGAGAGAGAGAGAGAGAGAAAAAAAAATTAGCATCAGCCTGACCCTCCCATGAGGTTGCACAAATGGCAGGAAGAACACTGAAAAAAGAGAAAGAAAAATCAGAGGGAAACGGCAGGAAACTCGTACCGATCTAAAATTTATGGTTTCATAAGACTCAAAAGATGAAAACGGGGGAATCCCCGAAGACGGGAGACTTGAAAACGGGGAATCCCCTCATGAGAGACGGAGGAAAATGTTTCAATTCCACCGGAATGTCGATTTAAAAATTTTCGACAGCTAAAGATGTGTTTTAAATATTCTGAAAATTAATTGTTGAAAAGGATTCGCGAAGAACGTTCATCCGGAACTGCACAATTATTTCATTCATTTGGACTTAATTTACGGATTTGATAACTCCAAATCTCCTCATCTATGCACTCATAGGAAGAGAATAAAATCTCTTAAATAATTTTATAGTGATTTGGGGGAGAGGAATAATGAAATTGCAAATTTCACTGGAAATTAAGTAGAATTCCAAATTTTTTAACAACAAGAGGAGAATTTCCCAACTCACTTGAACTATGATAAAAAACATAAATATTCAATACCAAATCAGACACAATTTTCAAACATTCGAAAATTCAAGAATTTATTCACATGAATTTTTTTGTTTTCACTCAACTTTACCTGATTTTTTCGCATTTTTATGGAGTTATTGTCTTGAAATTCACAGTTTCCATTGATTTTTCACCAAATTATGAATTATCAATTATGGAATTCTTTGAAATTTCAATAGAAAACTAATTTCATAAAAATTTCCAAGAAGTGCACCGTGAATTTTAGCCAAGAACTCTCAACAGTGTAGCATCGTAAAAAAATTACCTTTCCTAGAAATGAACGCACGTCGTTAATTATCGACATTTCATCCTTCAGTTTGATTGACTGCTGTTCGTTTAATCGTTTCATCAACCGCGGCTTTTGTTCAACAACTTTTTTTCAACCCTCCGACCACAACAAAATTGTTGACAAAAGAGATTCAACCCTGGATATCAGTTTACACGATAAAATCCTTTGATCCACCACTGGAATTTTGTTTAATCTCCGTCACGATCGCGTCCTTGCGATCATGTCGACACGCTACACTAGCATCGATCCGTCTTGGCCGAGGGGAACCTTGGGCTCGGATTAAACGATCCACACGGGTATAATGCCAAGCGCTCCGTGAAACTTTTGAGTCAGAAACGGCGAGAGGCATTCGAGTGGATTAAGAGATATATACGTTCACCTCTTCCAAGTTTCATACTGTATCCCTTTCTCTGTTTGTGGGG